TTCCAGACCTTGGTATGTCAATGACTGACCCATATTACTGAAATCGGTTGAATCAACCGATGAATCATAAAGTCTTTTGGGGCGCTTGAAAAAAGAGAAAAATATATCTTCTCATCACACCAAGATCAAACGTAGTGTATCTCAGATATTCTTACCCCTATCACTTTAAAAAAAATGATTTTACCCCAAGTAAGGCAATAAAGACACTAACACGCAAAAGGTTACTGAAGTGTAAAACAATGAGGAAAAAGAAAAGCAAACATGAAGGAGAGACCAATAAAAGAACAAGAATTACGACCACAGATAACGATTGTCATTGCATTTAAATTTTTGGAAGTGAAAGTTAACTGGAAAATAAGAAGCCGGAAGAGTGTTTTACAAGCGAGAAGTGCGATAGAAGAAACTGCTAGTATAGAACTTACGGTTACATCTAAGCATTTTAAACTGTAAAATGAGACATAGTTGTCAATACAGTAATACGCTAAAATTCATAAGGTCAGAGGAAACATTGTTTCCGAGTAAAATTTAGCCATGAAAATATTGGTGGTTAATACAAAAAAAATAACATTTTCTCAGATTTAAAAATTCCAATTCATTATAAAAATAAATAATGAATACGTACTGAAATTTTCATTTTAAATTGGATAATTCCGTGATTTTTGGTAATTTAAAAAAAGCGCTGTCCGCTCCAATTTTCCTTCAAGGGCTTGTGGCTCCCAGGTTGAAAATTCTGAAATCAATATGTAGTAGAAAGGTGTGAGGGCATATCAAAGTTTCGAGTTGGGTGGCGAGACCCTAACGCCGGCCCTGATACTACATATTAGTTTCATCATATTGTGTATGTTCATCAGATTGGCAACGAAACGAAGATGAAGGCTGATCGAAAGCATCCAATAAAACAGTTTGCTTTGCCTCAGAATCTATCCTAACTTAACAGCCGAATAAAGCATTTTCCCCTATATTCTCTACGATGGTGCGTGGTTTTCCGTAATAAACTTCGAAGACTTTCACTGAGTTTCTCGGCATAGTATAATCATATAATAATAGCTAGCAGTGTAACCCGTCTTCGATCGGGTCTTTCATTACTGGGAATTTTTACCGTTTATTTGGAACAGTTTATGTCATCCCGAAAATCAATATTAATAAAAACATTTGGGTGCAAATGTGGCACATCAACAAATTTGGGTTAACAATTTAAATGGGTTGGGTGACCCTGAAAAGGGCCGTTTTTGCGTTCTGAATCTGTGACTGTGTCGGCCTCACGCACAGCAACAGTTGAAGAGGCATTTTTTTCCTTTGATCATCATTTTCAGCCTCACGTGCAGAAGCGTTCAGGTATGTTCTTCTGGAAAGCCGATGTCTACGTTGATCTTCGGACTCAGTGGCTCTGATTGAAGCATTCCGAGAGGCATTTTGAGACAGGCAAACTGAACGTACTCAAGACGATTCGTTATCTCTTATTGGTGGGCATGGCGGCAGTGGTTTTGCGACCTAGGCAAGTTCTTTTCTTTGATGGCATGTCTTGGAATGCGTGGGCAAATACCAGAAGAGAACGCTGTAAAGATACAGGGATCACTAAGCTCGAAAAACTTTAAGAAAGTTTGGAAAAATAAACGTTGAGTAATAAAAAAGCAAGCTTACTTATTACTACGGTGAATGCAATGCAAAAATTGGTAGGACAAAAAAAAATTAAATTGGGAACGGCTATAAACGACAATTTGGACTCAAAACCAGCACTGAAGAATTATCTATCAAAAAAAAAAATTCATCGAAATCGGATGAAAATTGTTGAAACGCATAAACAACATCCGATCACACACACACACACACACACACACACACACACACACACACACACACACACACACACACACACAAAAATTTTGAGAATTATAGATATAAGATGATAATAATAATATTATTGCAGCGAAGACTAAAGAAACACCTTGCAAAGCTTTTGCCATCATAATGACAACCAAAATTGTGCCATAAATCTCGTGAAACTTTTCGCATCAAAACCCTGCATATGGGAATATACGGCACGCTATATCCGACACTAAGTTACAATAAGACCATTAAATCACTAAATCTTTTATATATTTATTGAGATGCTATGATCTACCAATTCAGGCCAGGAGAAAAATTACCATTATTATCATTTTACAGAGAAATGCTAGGTTTACCATCCCAGGAGTACATCTTAAAACATTAATATGGATTAGTTTTCAATCTGGCCTAAACCGAGGGAAAACAGAACTGAACAACACTTTTTATTGCTTCTTTAACACATTTCACATTTTGGCCGGCATGCACTTCCGCCCGCATTGCGCATGATCGAAGAGCTACTGAGCACCGTCGCCAAAATAATTCATGACGCCGGACGTGCCGTTAATGAAATAAGTATCTGCAGGCAGTCACTAAAAAGAATATTAAGGTAAATAAAAAGGAGAAAATTTTAGATTGTCTTTCACCATTTTTTTTAATTAATTTCCCAACATTTTCGCCGATAAATATATTAGAACTTGGCCTACCCTACACTAAACTAGTCTTAATTTTTCACCACATTTAAATACGTTTGGTTAGATTGGGTCTAGTTAGTGAGGCAAGATTTTCACACATGTATTTTTTTTATAAAAATATTGTAAGTGGAACATTTCGCTTGCAATTCATTCTCAGTCCTAGTAATAAACTTGCCAATCACCGAGTGATTTTGCGCCCCATGATGGTGCACTTAGAGGCGGTTAAACCCTCCATGCCACCCAACTCCATATACGGCCACTGCCTGTCCGAATTGAATTAAAGGAAAAGATTGATATTAAATTTAAACAATCAAGAATAAACACGACTAAAAAAAGACGAAGTATAAATAATTAATAATATAATCTTTTAATTCTTCTTTGAAGACATAAAATTGATAGTTCTGAGTGGAAAAGCCGTTAGTCAGTCGTTGAAGAAAGGAAGTCATGTATGATGGATGCAGCTATTTTGCAAAGTTGACTCTCTGACTAGAAGGTATATATATATATATATATATATATATATATATATATATATATATATATATATGGTGCAATAGGTAAATTGTCGCCATTTTATATTTTTAATTTTGCGCATGTTTTTGTCAACTGCACAGTATAGTAGAGTCAGTTGGGCACAGTCTTTGAGAAAAAAGGGCACCATGACGCAATTCACTCCGCCAGAAATTTGGAGCTGTACTGCTTGGAATTCGCGCCGGAAACCCCAATACGGACATTTCAGAGTGTTTAAGTGTCAAGCTGAGGACAGTGCAGAGAATTCGGAAAGAGTTGAATGATATATCCAGTCAATATCACTAGTGATGGCGACATTATGTCTCCATTCATCTTCCTTCAGAGCATCAGACTCAACACGGAGGTCTACATCAAGTGTCTTGAGCAGGTATTGCTGTCCGGGGTTAAAAGGGTAGCTGCTGGAAGACACGATGTCAGGCAACAGAACACTGCACCATGCCACATAAGTAGAAGAACCCAGTCATGGCTGTCGGACAATTTATGGGACCACATCACCCCTTACATCTGGTCGCCTAACTCCCCAGACAGCAAATTATTATGTGTGGGTCGCAGTTGAGAGAGAAACCAACAAAACCCCTTGTAACGCCAAAGATGAATTGAAGGCAAGTGTTATTAGAGAATTCCCCAACTTAAACAAGGAAACCGTCCAGAAGAGATGCAGTAGATACTGAAGTCGTCTGGAGGCCGTCGTTGAAGCTAATGGCGATTTTATTGAATAAATTTACTCTAAAGTGTAAATTTATTCAATAAAATCGCCATTGGCTTCAATTCTAATAAACAAATCTTTTAGTGTCAAATAAATTTCTGCCGGAAAAAATTTTAATTTGGACATCAAAGGATTCAAGCGATAACATTCTGTTAAGTTTCTATGATTTGAAAAGAACATATTTCAAGATATTTCTGTGTAATTTTGGTAAATATATCTGTTAAAATGGGATGTCGGTGTTATTTTCACTTTTGCGTAATTAAGATTACAATTTATCCATCCAACCTATATACAACCTATATATATATATATATATATATATATATATATATATATATATATATATATATATTATATATGTTTCATTAAAGAAGACAGAGGTACTACGATATGTTATATATGTTTCATTAAAGAAGACAGAGGTACTACGATTAAGCTTTTTATTTAATTTTTCTTGTGTTCGAACAAGTGTTTTCTTTTTTAGACACAGTGTGTGTAGAAACTGTCCAAATTTTTTATAATTCCGTGTGCTTTCGGCTATACTTTTAGCCATTATCAAGGATGATTTTATTTTTTTTTCAATTTACATATACCCAACCCACACACCCAATTAAATTGAAAAAATAAAATCTCCTTGATAATCGCTAAAAGTGTGTATACAGGCGACTGGGGATTGTTTGTGAGTCTAAATTCCCGCTAAAACTTCTATTTGCACGTCCGAATGAATATGACCTCTCGTACGCTTGGTCAGCTTTCGTTCGGATTCGGTGTCAAATGGAGCCCAATGTTCCATGGGGAACGAGGGGAACTAACTATAAACGTCTACCTTGAGTGGCTCTTGTGTCTTGTATCGGGTGAAGAGTAGTATAAATAAACTGGAACAAGAATTAATAAATTTAAAAAAAAAATCTTGTTTATAAAAACAATTTCTATAAATAAGCTAATTTTTTTATATAATAAAGCGATATATAAAGAAACCTTTTCATGTCTAAAAAGAACTTAGCAAATAGACTCCCATTTTCTGTCACTCTGTAGCCAGTGTCATACTCTGTGCTTTGAGTGTGTTCCCTGGTGTGACAAGAGAGGCTTTCAGTTGTCAACCGATGCTCCAGAACGCTGTCTCCGATTGTTAGATGAAAAATTCAACTCTGAATGCATGTCTACCACAGTGAAGCGCGGAAAAAAATGTCTACTTAAAACCCGGTCGTTTTTCAATTTTCTCATGTTCTTTCACACCCAGTAAGGCCACATCACGTTGAAACGCTGATTCCCGTACGAGCACCGAAGTTAAGCAACATCGAACCTGGTCAGTACCTAGATGGGCGACCGCTTCGCAATACCAGTTGCTGTAAGCTTGGATTTGCAGGTGATGTAATGAGCACTGGCTTGGAACTACTAATCGTAGAGTCGAGTTCCAATTCCACTACCCTTAGGAAAGATATGACTTCATCTTTCTCCACCAATCTATGGGTTAATTAGTAGGACTTGTATAACTAAAACCATTACTATCTCACAAAAAATAAAATGAAATTACGTACAAAATATTTAGATTTCGGCATTAAATAACCTATAGAAGTTGATATGCCGCTAAAACAACCAATCAACAGCACCCAGTAACTGCTTGCATCTTAGCGGCTTTATTGCATTGCTTGGGGTAAAATGAAACGGTGTCGGTGAAATATGTGACAAAGTTTTCGTGTAGAATAGCTTTTCCTTTGTTTTTTTTCCAGAAAACTAATCGATTTGGGCAACTTGATAGTTATTTGCAAAGTGTTGCAGCATTCTTGTTGTTCTATTAAGCTGTGATTGCTTTCTTCAATATCCTTTTTATACGCCATTTATGACTTGGACAATCTCTACAACAGCCTGTCTCTTGTGGCTCTAAGCAATATTTGACTAATTACCTCTACTTATCCTAGAACAACGAGTTTATTACAATATACAACTTAATACAAACGAAAGAAAACATTCTACTTAAAACGTTTTTTTAACATCATTTTCTATTGCCAAAATAACCAAAGAATTTAATCTTTCTTGAGTCATGGACCACCACAATTATATTCTTATAAGTTTTAATTTACTAAGTCTTCTCTCTTCGGTGGCTACACTAATGGATATAGTAGACATTCTCACTGCAACCCACAGAATTGGCATGGCATTCTGTAACTTATTACTTAAAGACTTTTATTGGAAGCCTTACATCTTCAGGAAATAATTCTTTTGCAAAATTCAGCTTAGTCAAAAGATCGCATCTATGAATATTTATCTGAGTTAGGGCGTAACGCACGTGATAACTTACTAACAAGAAGAGGAACAAACAGCATTCAAATATGATTATCAGCCTACGGTTGCTGGCATATAAGACGCACCCCAATTTCAGCATGGCAAATCAAGAAAAAAATAGTAAAATTAGTAAACTTACATATAAGACGCAGGGGAATTTTAGAAGATATTTGTAGTAAAAAAAAAAAAGTGCGCCTAATATGCCGTCAAATACGGTATTTATTTATTTTTAATTAAATTCATCCCAAGCAAGACATTAAGGCCACTGACACACAAGGAGTTACTGGATGTGGAAGAACTATAAAAACAGAAACACTACAAAGGAGCGAGTACAGAAGAAGAGTAATCAGGAGGACAGTAGATAGCGATTGACATTGCATTTACATTTCTGAAGATTAAATTTGACTGGAAAGCAGGGAGCCGGAGGGAGTTCCTCAAGCGAGAACCGCGAGAAAAGAAACTGTTAGCATAGAACTTATGGTTACATCAAGTCAACTCAACTGTATATCAATGAGACCTCGTTGTCAGTTTAGTACTGTACTTAATATATTCGTAAAATCTATGTACCATAGCTAAGAGCTCCTCTGAACAATTAATGGGTAGCGGCTTGGATTGAGCAAATACCAAGTATGAATCTATCTCTTTTTTCAGCAGTTATGGATTAAAAGCAGCACAAACCGGGTCCTATAGCCTTTGGTAGCAACCGGTCTAGAAGAATAACATTGAATTCAAAACCTGAGGGTCATTTGGTGAGATTGTAGCGCGCTATGCACCAGTTCTGTCTTCAGCTCTTTCAAAGTGTGGTTAGTTCTGCACAAGTTTTCCCCACTATAATCAAATTATATATGCGGAAAAAGGCTCTTCATGTCATTTTTACTTTTTTTTTTTACATGTGTATTGAAAACTTTTTTAATATTACTGTTTCTAGGTCTAATTCAACTCTGACCATTAACCTTTTATGTATTTTATATATATATATATATTTTATATATATATATATATATATATATATATATATATATATATATATATATATATATAATACATAAATATATATATGTATGCTGGACCCGCATACGTCAAAAAACAACTGGAGAACTCTCTCTCTTTATATATATATATATATATCTATATATATATATATATATATATATATATATAATACATAAAGGTTAATGGTCAGAGTTGAATTAGACCTAGAAACAGTAATATTAAAAAGTTTTCAATACACATGTAAAAAAAAAAAAAGTGAAAATGACAATCAATCATAACAGTAAAATCGACCTTACAGACTGAAACTCTGTGGCTCAATCGGTAAAAGCACGTCAGGCTATATGACGGTTCCGTACAGGGTCGATTCCTGTCGGAGGACGCATATTTTCTATGAAAATTTCTCAGACGTTCAGGCCGGTAAATGTCGTTAATATTTTATTAAACAGTGCATTTACTTAAATATTTATATCTATAAAAAGAACGTATAAACATATCAGACCATAAAATTTGCTTATGATAGTCATCATTCTTTTGTAAATTAGTTTTGGCAAATTCAAGTCTGGATTTTAAATGACGTTTTTTTAGCAATGGGGTTTTGCGAGGAGATCGAGATTTTAATTGTTGTCGGTGAAGTTCAGAACTTATGGTCCTCTTGCATACGTGAGTTCTTGCATTGCTGAGATCCTTTTGAAGTTCTCTCCGAGTCACAAAAGGGTCATTTTTTACTCACCGTACTATTTTCCGTGAACATTTTTGTGATATTTTGCGCGGTGCACCTGTTTTTGGCATATTTTCATGAGTACCGAAGGCTTTCCGTTTCTTAATTATGTACCTAACAGTACTCACAGGTAAACATAGGTCTTTAGAAATCTTACGATAGCTTCTTTTTTTCTTTATGTGCAGAAATAATTCGATCTTTAAGATCTTTCAACAGCTCTCTTTGCTTTGGCTCCTGCAGTACTGTTAGTGCGACGTCTTGGGATGAACTGACCATCAAGATAGCTAACACCTTTAAGTAATGCACGTTCTAGACTATTCCATAAAATTCTAACACATTCGAGCATGAAATATACTCAAAACATTAATTTTAAACGTAATTTCGGAATTGTCCAAATACTTTTTTCACTACCTGTTTTAATAATTTTTATATAAAATATATATACGTGTCAAATAATTTATTTTTGCTGTTTATTTGCATTTATAATTGTTTTACGAATATATTGTGAGCTTTAGACAATGCTTTTCTTTTAATATATGATTCTAAATCCATTTTTTTAGTGTCCAAGTACTTGTTTCACCTCACTGTATAATGTGTGTGCATATATTACTTTACTAACGATTATTAAGGACGACTGTTTCCCTAAGATGGTTCTGTACAATGAATTGACCGAGGAAAAAAGAATAATGCGCAATAAGGAAACGTGGTATTGCACTCAATTAAAGATTTAGGGGTTTTACATGATAAACAAGGACACAAAATATCTTTTTCTAAATCATTACCTTTTTTTTTTTTCTTTTATTTAGGAGACTAGTTTCAATATTACATTTAGGTTCAAAATCGTAGCGTTGGAAATTCATTCCGGTGTTCAGTAGCAAAGCTTTATAAAATTTATAATTTACTGGAGCTTTACAAATTCTATATAGACAAGATGCATAGCACAATCATATTATTACTAAATCATTGTGCCATCAAATAAGAGCTTCATTTACTTCAAAGAGAAATTATACTGAACAATTTAGCTATATTATACAGTGCTGTAGTTTTAGTGTGATTTTCAATAAACAATGCAAATTTAAAACATTTTATTTTATAATTTTTGTCTAGCAGTATTATGGTGTTATATAGTCTTTAATCTATCTTATACTTTATTATAATCTAACAAATCTTATTCGTTGAGTAGCATTTTGGTAATCATTTACAATTTTTTTACAAACTTTTTACTTATCAAATACAGTACAAAAATACATATTTTGCTTGTGGTGATTCATAACCAGAATTCTAGTTTGAATTTATTTCCATTCAATGTATCTAATACAAAATATTTTAACTTTATTTTGATATATTCTTGAAATAGTAAAATTCTGAAGTCTGTTTGTAAGCAAAAACCTGCGGAAATTAGGTGTTTCTGTGCATTTTTTTCCAGACGATCTTTGAAACTAAATGTTCAAAAATTGGCGAAAGATATGAATCTAATTTTTGGTGTCAGTACTTATCACATCAGATCTCAGCTTTCACACCGAGTGAAATGTTGATTTTTTAAAAAAAGAAAAGTGAAAAATCAACTTGCCTTAATGAGCAAAGCGAAACTGAGCTCTAAAGATTGCATCAAAAACACACTGGAGAAGGTCAACATCTTTTGTAATGGCTGGGAAAACTTCGTTCTACATTGTTCATCATGGAGGAAAGGAAAAACGGTAAAGAGACTTTGAACAGAATCGTTCTTCTATATGCTTTAGGACGTTGCAGATTATGGTTCTCCACAATTTCCTGTCCTTTGTAGCCTTTAATAAATTTTCTTTTTCTTATCTCTCTGAAACCTCGTCCCACCATCCATTTACGCAAGCTCGCAAGGTTATACGTTGTTTTCCTCTGTCCCTCTTGCCTTCAATCTGTCCTGTGAGTTAAATATTCCAAACCCTCTTTCCTCATTATCTGCCCCAGCAATTTCAACTGTCTCTTTCTGGTGTTATGTATATGTCCATTTTGTTTCCATTTTCGCAAAAACCTTCATCGTTGCTCATATGTTCGTTCCACGGGACACTCAGTATCCTTCTGTAGAATCACATTTCTGTTGCTTCAATCTGTTTATCTGTGAGGAGATTGTCTTGCATTCATTGCCATATAAGAATTACGTAACGGTTCCGTATACTTTTTTTTGTTTCTAACGAAAGTTTTCTTTTCCTTAATACTTTGCTTTGCGTTTGGAAGACATCTTTCACTATCCCAAATGCGCCTTCGTATTTCACATTTCCCCTCCTCTGTTAAAACCCTTTCCAGATATTTAAATTGTTACACTGAGAATAAATCAAGAAATGACATTGCTCGAAATCGTGTCGTAGCCATCTTGGATGAATCT